AAACAGCCAAAATTTCATGAAAGAAACATTTTCGCCCCCCTCTCTAAAGGGTTAGAACAACATTTATAATCTCTCTTTAAATGGTAATCAACAGTTTGACCAGTTCATCCACAGGGGAGCCAACAGAACAAGGCAGAAGCAGAATAGTGGGTTTCTTTTTAAGTACAGGTTTACGCAAAATGGGTAACTGCTGAGGAGATGGTGTCACCTCTGTGATCCAGCTGATCCTGGAGCCGTGCAAATTCAGCAAGTTCATTCAGTTCTTGAAATTGCCTGTCTGTTTTATGGCTCACCAGTGACCTGTAGAAGTGTACTGCAAACACAATGAAAATCAGTCCAAAGGGAACCATAATAGACGTCGATGCAATGGCTGCGGCCTGTCCCGATGTGATGGTAGTAGTACTGTTGCTCTGGAGCGGATTATCAGTTTTCTTCTTTAAAGGAAGAAACTTCACCCAACACAGTAACACCACCTCTGCAAGAAAGAGCAAAGTCCCAATGACAGTTGAAAATGCCCACGCCAGCTCGATGTGCCGATGCATACGCTCGTGAGGGGATTCCTTTACGGAGTTGAGATTATGCACGTTGCTAACAGCCTCTATGTTTGGAAGGATGCAGGTACTTATCATGAGTGCAAAAAGATGAACTGCAACAAGAACAGTAGTACAGGCACTGAAGGCTATCAAGAGACCTTGAGGGTAGTCGTGTTCTGCATCTAGCTGAACTTCTACCATAGCCACCTGGAAGGGAAAGATGAGAGAGATGCATTTATATATTATTTGACTATAGATTATTTTAAGTTTGAAAGTTTAACAAAATAACAGTTTGCATTTAAATTCCTCTTCATGTCAATCTGCACCCTTTTAATTACCTCCAAATTCAGGTCTGAGCTATCAAGCAAAGGCCACTGTTTTCAGGCTTGCTGGTCTGTTGTAGAGCAAACCATCAGTATGCACAAAATCTATTAACAGCACAACCACTTTGCCACCTCCAGCCTACCCCAACAAAACAGCTGAACTTTGTGATTAACATACTCAGGCTCTAAAGGTGAAACTTTTCCTATCTATAACATGAAAGCCTGCAAAGGCAGCAGATTGCCTGTCACAGTCTTGGTGGTCCTTTCTTCTTGTATATTTTGTCTTAAAGTTCTGAAGAGCAGGAGCCTTTCAGTAGAAAAATCACCTTTCCAGGGTGCTCTCAGCTGTATCCTTTCACTCAAAATAAGCATTTAAGCAGACTCCAGAACACATATTCAAAACACAAGTCTCCACAATGTCCACAGCAGCCAAACATGCCTGTTAGAGGCTGGAGGAAAGACAAAAAGTCTCCCTGAGCAGACAGACATCACTAGCTACTCACTCTGGAAGCTACATTTAGCCTCATCTTTGGGCAAGGTGCTCCAAGGTCCAGCCCTCCACTATTGTATGGAGCCCTGCCCTTTTATAAACTTAGATATCCAAACAAGCCTATGCTTTAAGAGCAGAAATTAGCATTAAGTAACAGCCTTAGGAAACTCATAAACCCAGCTCAAAGGTTTTTTAATAAAGAGAATAAACTAGAATGCCTTCTAAGAGTTTTAAAACCATCAGGTGGTTTTATGCATGTGCAATTGATGAGTAACATTAATCCCAGCAGCCCTCCTGAAAAATAACCTTTCCTGATAAACTTGCCTTCCAGGCAAAGCACAGTCCCAAAGAGGGACTAATACAACAATGTCTGTGTTTAGTGCTCTTTCTCAAACGATCTTACTAAATAAATAGACAAAAATATGTTTAAAATGCAGAGGCAAAAGAAAGTAACAGCAATCTTAACTATAAACACACATACACAATGAGAGGGAGATGCGGAGGCTGCTGTTGAGCACAATTCAGGCTGATTCACACCAGCCCTTTCTTCAACAAAGGATCAAAACCACTCTTGATCCTTCATTGAAATGACACAACTTGCTAGCCCAGCAAAAGCTAACGTGGTTAAGAAGTGGTGATCTGCTACAGCTGAGCTGCTTCTGCAATGCCTCTGATGAACACAGAGCTGGCACAGGCCCATGTAACTGAAGCAGCAGCAGTTGTACCAGGACCTCGCGCTAAGCTATGAACCTAGTTCTTTTGTAACATACCAGTTTGCCCTCAAAAAGACCATGAAACAAGTTCATACAACACAGAGCCTGAAATATATTGGCTCTTTTGAGGCCCACCAATACAGGTTTAGCCATTACCACATGCCATTAGCAATGGTTTAGGCAGTACTCGGCCTGCAGCACACATTTCAAACGCCTAATTCTCATCAAGCTGCTATGAGGAAGATTTCATGAAGCACGGGCAATAGGGATGCAGGGAGACACAGAAACTAGGACCCAAAGACAACCGCAAACACAGTGATATCCAAACCTCACTATTCCACAAGAGCTGAGGCAAGCTACACCTAGCTTGGATTCCCACCTTCTTAAGCTTCCAGAACCAGCATGTTCCCGGAGACCAGAACTCCTGTCTGCTAAGGCACCAAACATTAAGCCAACTGAGGGTTTTGCTCAGACATGTTCCAACAGGCATTCAGGGCCATTTGCCAATATTTTAATTCCTTTCTTGAAAGTTTTCATCGTCACAAGCCTGAGCACCCAGCCAACCGCCAGTTTCCAAGTCTTACAAGAAGCTCAACTAAAAGTGACATTAATGCATATGCAATTCTTGCTCAAAGATTTAAAAATACCATTTATCAGCCGTGGGGAACTTCACATTTGAGAGGATAAACACTCAGACGTCAGGTCTCTCATTTCTTGCTAAGTCCCAGCGTACTCGTGGGATGTTGGGCTTCCTGTGTTTTTCACAGAACAATTGCAGCCCTTCAGCACTGAGGAGTCATTTTCATACTTAAAGAACGTTCCTGTAAATTTTCTGGTCTATGTCAAGACTTTCAAAACCATCCAGCATAGCAAGACATTCTAATCCTTTATCCTAATACTTATTATATTAACATAGCCATGACACTAAAGAGCTTCTTAAGATGAAGACTTTCTTTTAAGAAGAACTGATGTATTTAATTTGCCAAATATTGAAGACGTTTTATGTTTCCATTAATCAATGTCTCCATGTAATAATGGTATCAAGCATCTGAATTGGAACTTAGACTCTCTTAATTGCAATGTACCAGCTGTCCTGGAGCTACTGTTCTCATTTCAACACTGCCATCAAGAAATCTTTTCTTCCTCTTCTCAGCCTACCCTGAGCTAAAAAGAAATGCTAAATAATTACATTTCATCTAAATGTACCTATTTCTGATTTGGCTATAATTACATGCATGATCAAAACAAATCTTGCAAGAGACTAGCTTAATTTAAGCAGCATTCAGATACCCAGCTCTGTGCCTAGCTAACCACCAACAGAATCATAGGGCCAACTATTAAAAGCAGACACCCATAGCAGGAATACAGGTTGTCCTGGGATAAGACAACTTCATTTTAATATTATTGGGCATTTCCCTAAAACAGTGACCCCAGGAGTACCTACAACCATTAAATATTAATGGGATAGCTTAAACCCAAGTTTACAAGCAAGGCCTCAGTTTCTATGGCTGACCAATACATTAACACAGACCTGCTTTGCACAGGAAGCTCATTGTGCAGGTAGGTCCCAAATCATCTCTCAGAAGAAAATACGCTTAAGTTGTAGTTGTAACTGACACTGGTGTTAGAAACACCCTAAAAGCACGAGTAGGTAAGCAAGAAAACACTTCTCTTTCCCATTCATTCAGTCTCCTTATGCTCATGCCTAGCAGAGTAACTCCAGCTTGACCCATGAATGAAAAAAACAGTCCATGTTTTCTGTCAAGGAAGCTAATTTGGGAACCCCTTTCAGTATAAACTAGCAGAAAACCTGCCAACTCCTTTCAACTGCAAGGCTCTGTTCTTTACTTCCTGGGCCAAGCTTGAGCCAGGCACCTAAACAAAAAGCTCCCTTTTTCAGTAGGAGGCCCCATGCCTGTTTTCAAACAGTGATGCAAAGCATTGGAAGTTCTCTCCTTTGCTCATACTGTGATTCCAAAGCGCACAGATCACAGTTGCTGCTCTTTTAAGGTAACACTTGGGAAAACAGGACCCCAGTGAGGTTATCTGATACGATTCAAACCCATACAAAGCCTGAACTCACAGGTACATGCTCATGTTCTACACAGGAAGATGTTTTCCTGTGCCCCCTATTAGGTTTCTCAGCTGGTTCAGAAGACAACCCCCTCAGGACAGGAAGTGTCATTGATACCTGCACAGTATCCAGTGCCACATGTCTCAGCACCTTCTCCTTCACCACTTTCAAAGCTTCTTTGAACACATGCCACATGATTTCTACTCTGCAAGCATCCTGCCTTGCTGCATAACCACAGAATATCATAGGTTGGAAGACACCTCAAAAGGTCACCTGGTCTAATCCCTGGCTCAAAGATCTAACTTTAACTTCAGATCATCCTACAGGTATGACTGACAGATTTACTACAGCTCAAAGCTGTAAATCTGAAATACAGCTTCTTGACAAAATTAAAGAGCTCTTACGAGATTAGAACGCAGGACTGGAGTTCTCATAATCCTAAAGAAGGTGGGCATTCAGATGTCAGAAGATAACTGAACTTAGGCACAAAACCGGGTTAAGGCTCTGACAGCCCTGGATTTCAGAGTCATAGGAGCCTGAATCCTACCACATTGCATGAAATTCGACAACTTGCCCTCTAGAAGAATCAGCATCTCCATTTTATTTAAGGTGTTAATATACTGAAATAAGCTCATTTCACTTGTTTATAATGCTTCCATGGCTTACTAACCAGGGGGGCTTAAATAAAGCTCCTGCTTTTAAATGAAAAATCAAAGTCCTGCGTGCTCTGAAGGTTTCTATCCATACAAGAGGCACCTACACAGTGCTGCTGACAAATACTGACTCTACCACTTTGCAGAAGTGACCTGTGATACGCTAATAAAGCAATTTTCAACAGCAATAACAATTAATGTAAAGAACCAGTCACATACAGAGCTGTAAATGAAGCTCATATTGCTACTGAAATGCAGGATAAGCAACTGTCCTGGTTTGTCACTTGTTTGTTTTTACCACAGCAGCAGGACTGTTGAAATTGATGACTTGCTTCAGATTTTGGCTTTATTCCCCAGCTACTAGGCAGTATGTTGGTTTCACTTAGACTAGTTTTAATCCTAACATAACGCCAGCTTCAAATTCAATTCCTGTTTTAAGATAGGTGTTTCTGAAGTAAGAAGTATCCAGGGAAAGGAAAACATGACAGACAGATCAGAAGAAAAACAAGAGGAAGAACTGTAGCAAGAGCCACCCATGCAGCAGGTCATACTGACACTCAAGACATTCAACACAGGAACAAAGGTAACTGCTCTCTGTTATCATGTGCCATGGCAACAGCAGTGAACAGGGTATCCGAGAGCTTTCTGACTTAATCACAGGCTTGCATCTTTTGCAGAATCAGTAGCCACTGGTGGAGAGAAAGGGAAATAAAATGCCTTTACTCAAGTAAATCTGTATTATCTATGAGCTATTTATAGATTACTTCTTCTCCTCCCCTTCCCCACAGAGATGACTCTGAGCTCTGGTCAGCAGGACTGTGACACGTGCTGGAAGATGGGCTT